AAAGGAAAGTCACAGTTATGTGCTCAGCTAACTCCGTTTCCATAAAAGAAAAAAGAAACTTTTCAGCTTTTTATGTTAGATTATCATTGAACATTAAGGAGGGGGGAGTTCTGAAAAAGTGAAAAATTAAATCATCTTTCAGCTATGGAAAACTGCAAAAAAAAACCAAACAAACGAAAAAGAAAAGAAGAAATACATAAATAAATAAATATATCTGGAGAAAATCAAAGACGAAAAAAATTACTGGCGTTTGACCCCATCAACCTGGCTACGACCATGTTAACCTGTGGTTGGTTCAACTTCAGCTTGCATGGGAGGCCTGTGGATAATATTACGGGCCTTTCTCATTTAGACTAATCACTTAAGACTACAGCCCCCGACCCTGGGGACCCCTCACCTTTAGCCCCTCACCCCTTCTGTAAATTTACTAACCTCATCTTGACAAAGCTGTTTCACATCTCCCTCCACTTCATTTTTTTTGGCCCAGGCTTCTATCACTTCAGCATCTGGTACAATGATGGCAACTAAGAAGGACTGGAAACGAAGAATGTTTTTATTCAAGCTGCTATTTAGCTTAAATGCTTAAAAATATTATGAACAAACCTTAAAGCTGTTTCCAATGACAAAGGCCTGTGCAACAAACGGACTGCGTAAATATACATTCTGGATCTTCTCTGGAGCAATATACTCTCCCTGTTTTAGAAAAAAAAATAATCACCATGTAAAGTGAAATAAAAAAGAAAACTAAATGATACATGAGGTTGAGACAGAAAAAATATCTTAGTTCTCTGAGAGGCTTCAAATCCAAATCTTCGAGTTCGGATTTCGTACTCCGATGCTTCAATTTGCAATGCAATCAATTTAAGTTTAACTTAAGATATTTCCTCATTGGGCAGCCGAGCTAACAATTTCATTCTTTCTTATCTTGTTAAGCTGCAAAATATTTAGTAAGAAATCCAAAACAGCAACAGGCAGCAAAACAGAAATAATAACCTCTTCCGAGAGAATTAGCAAACTGTAACGGAATATAGGTATGTAACATTTGTAAAGCAATGATATTCAGAGACGAAAATATAATATTCTTACCTGGGAAAGCTTAAAAACGTTTTTCTTTCTATCAATGATTTTCAAAGTTCCATTCTGCAAAAGAAGGCAGTGCGCTTTTAGCTTTGATAGAAAACATAGGCATGCCACGCATGCAAGAGTTATCTTCTTTGGATGGGTGGGTAACAAGATTACTGGTACCTTACATTTTTGTTAAGAAAAACAGCATTAACTTTCAAAAGATTCCAACGAAAATATCGTTTCATGGGGAGAAAAAAAAAACATTTTCCAACTTGTATGAAATAAACTCAGGCACAGGTGTTTTGTTGTTAATTGTCGCTAGTTCTGAATAATTGTAAGCAAAAATAATCTTCATTGTTGCCACACATACTATAGATAAGAGTCTTCTTTGCAGCTGTGTTTGGGCTCGTCACGCAACGCGCTCCTTCCCTCCATTGCGTGACGAGAGGAAACAAAAGTTTACGAAGGATATTTTGTTAGCTTGCGATCAGGCCGTCATTATCAGCGTTTGGTCGCTAGCGTTTCTTTTCCCGCGCGAACGTACGAGGCCTTTAGGAACTCGAGCCAGCGAAAGGTGTGTCCGGGGTCTGGTACTGATAATTAGTGCCAGATCCCTGACAAATCTCTCCCCGACATGACAACGCAATCTCTATATCGGCGCATCAGGGGTAGGCTGAGATTTGCCACGCGCCTTTTTACCTTCAAATAGACATATGCCGCTGATTCTTCACTTTACAAAGTAACAAATGGTTCAAAGAGTCGTGGTAAGTACGATATTTAATTGTTAACGTGCTAGTGTGCTAAAGCGACATCTCATCAATTTTACAATACATATTTTAAGCTGCTCTCACACAGACCATTATTGTGTTGATTCATATACTGACACATCGTGAATTGGTTTAGAAGGACATCGATCTGAATAAATTCCATCTATGTTTTGAAGCTTTTTTATATTCCAAGAAGAACAAGTCTCTCGCGCATTAAAATCAGTACTTCTGCCGTGTCGCCAAATTTTGCCGTAAGTCAAATTTGGACCATTCATACCTATCCAACGCATGGATAACAATCAAAAAACCACTTTAAATAAATCTATTCCAATAGGCATGCCTAATCTGTGCACAGAAAAAGCGTCCTGGGAAGTTTACAGATGTTAAATGTTGGTATTGCGTCAAGTGCGGGGTCAATTATTTCGGCAAAACAAACGTTCAGATTAAGAAAGACGGAAACCGTCGTTGGTGTTCGCAATGTGAAAAATTGGTAAGAAAGAGCCATTCGAAATTGAATTTTTTTTCGGTGAAAATGTTCATCACACGAGCAGATATTCTTCTTCTCATAAAATATCCGTCTGGCCCGGCATGTCCAATGTTGTCTCCTTGGCCGTCCTAGGTAGTTTAAGGTTTTTCAGTGTCGGTGATAACGCAGAGTATATTCAAATCGCACAGCTCTGCTATATTTCAAATTTATTCATGGCGGGCAAATCTATTTTTATTTGATGAGTTTAATTCATGCGCTTAATTTTTGGGGAAGATGGAGAGCGACTGAATTTTAGGTTTCTAAACTTGCGTTTTACAAATCCAACTTAATCTTTACTTTTTGTGTCCGTTGTTCCCTCTTTGATTTATTTTTTTTGTTTTACCCATGAAGTTTTTACGTCTTTCTTACAATAGCTATTTGCATTTATCTTTGTTTTTCAGAGAAAGTTCTATTTCAGTTTCTTACTGTGGGTTTTATTAGTCATACGACTGGAATATTAAACAGGACAGGCTTCTTTTTTGAAAGGTTAGTTTTAAAAAAATAATTTAGACACAATCTTTTCCCGTTTTGTTGCAAACAATTTGCCTTGGCCTTATCATAGTCTTCAAAATAGAATGATCCACTCATCCCGAGGCCTTTAACCTCCATGATCTAATTATCAAGTCTCCTTTCTAAATGTAACAAATGTTACTATAAATATTTTTTAGAGAATAAGGTGTTTCGTCAATTTAACACCATCCAGCTGATAAGTTTGTTTATTCTCCAAAACTGTTGGCTGAAGAATATATTGATACTGTAGGGAGAAATTACGTGTTCAACAATTCTTAATTGTCCGAGTCTGGGACTGAAAGAGTAAAGCAGCCACACGATGTATGAATGTGAATTTATTACGTAAGAAGAACAAAGACGCAATGTTTTGAATGCAATTACGGGGAAGTTGGAAAGCGACGTAGTTGTGTTTTAGGTTTCCGAACGATTTTGTTTTTGTTCGACCGATTATGCTGTTACTTTTTTTCACAAAAAGTCATTGTCATTCATTTCTGTTTTGCAAGGAACGTGTCATTTCAGTTTCTTACCCTCGGCTTCCTCAGTCACACAATAAAAATGCTGAACAAGACACAATTCCTTGTTCAGGGGTAAACAGCAAAAATAAAGAAAAAAATTAGCTTACATTCCTTTTCCCTTTTTTTTTCCGTCGTCACCTTAAATCAGGCGCAATAGAAATCAAATTTAAGAAGTGCAAATCTTGATTTTAAAAGAAGGAGCCACAATATTTTTCAATGAGCATTGTGAACAAAACAGAAAATCGTGTTGATACATCTCAGACCAATTCTATCAACTACAGTTTAAAATCTCGTCGCAGACATTCGAAGTAATTTTTTCAACCTATCAAACTCAACACTTTGTTCTTACACGAGCTGCTCGCATATTCTTGGTTTCTTGCGGCTTTCGGTGTCATCTCTGAAACAATACAACCCGTGTTTATCTTTGAGAAGGTCGCTTTTTTCATGAAAAAAATATATTTAGTATTTTAAATAAAGTTGAGGAATTTCAGAGGTAAAAGAACTAATATAAAATAATACTAAATAATATTTGTGAAGACCTACCAAATTCAAATCAATTTTTGATTTGATTGCAAAATATTTAAGGTTTGCGTCACGGTAAGCTTTTGAATTTATGATTTTATTAGCAATTCTTCCATTGAGCCCCTTCGCTTTAGCTTGTTCGCCAGTGGGGAGAATTTAGTGTTGCTTTACAAAAACACCCTCAGTTGATAAGTGTTCTCGCCGCTTGTTGACTGAATAATATGTTGATTTTGGAAAAATTCTGTAATTTGAAGGTTTTTTAGAAATCATATAAAGGGCAGTTTTAAACCACCAAACTCTTATC